TAAAGAAAATGCTAAAAGGCTAGCATTTTCAGTGGGGGGCATTACAACAGAAAAAGAAGAACGCGCACAGCACTATGAAAAGAAAGCCAGACTGTTGTAATAAATCTAGATGAGCACTGAAAATGAGACGAGTCAAAACAAAATCGAGCAAAGGCAGATCTGCTAGAAACTTTTTTTTGTTCATGACGAGAAGAAAAAAAAACAACCACATCGAATGCACACGGAATGTCTTGAACAAAAATTTCGAGGAAAGGAATACAACCGGGAGGAGTTACTGTTGCAAGTGTCGTTTTTTTTTTCGAGCAGTCTTTCATTCGCAATTTTGATGAAGAAGTTTGATCGACACAACGGCGAAAAAGAACTGGCAAATTTACAGAGACTACGAAGAAGAGAAGACAGGCAGAGAACTCACAATCGTAAAATAAAACAATGTAAAATCGAACAGACACACTCACACGATGAGGAAACGAATATATTGGAAAAGCAAACAGGAGAGAAAAAAAAAATGGTTAAATAAAACTTATACTTTCATCTTTTGTGTGTGTGTGTGCTCACTTTATCTTCTGTTGAAGAGAGAAAACGCGGCACTTTTTCAAGCTTCTTTTCATTTTTAAATCGGCAATCAACGGAAAGGAGTCGGAGAGAAATAACGAAATTTATTCGTGTTCTTTTTACCAGTGTGGATTCGCTCCAAAACTTGCACACACCGAACAAAAAAAAAACAACAACTTCGCTCATAATAGCGGTGTATTCAAGGCAAATACACACATTTATCTTATAGTTGCGGTGGCGGTAATCTCGATTCCACTTCTCTATTCTCTATTTTTCTTCTTCTACTGCTGCTGCCGTCGCCTCCACCTTTCCTTTTATTCGCTTTTGTCTATTCCGCCTAAATGATATATGAACATTATTTTTCATTATTATTGCTCACAATGGCGAGTAAGTTTTCCACAATATTATAAAAGTTATAAAATAGTTGTGGGTTGCAAACGCGCGCGCGTTATGTGTGTGCGTGTTTTTTTCATTTTTCTTTCCATATTTTTTTTTTTGTTGCTGCTGCTTGAGTTTTTTCCCTTTCTTTCGTTTTGTTTTAAATAAATATGTGAAACAAGAAGCACGCGCACATTCGCAACTACGACACAACTTGAAATTTTAACGTTTCAAGGAGTGGTGGTGCGTTTGTCTGTATGAGTGTGTATTTTGTTTCATTGCTCAGCTCTTGCATTTTATTCCATTCGCCGGATACTAAAGTATAACTGTGCAACGACACATCGTGAAAGTGAGTTCTGCACGCGAAGACGACATCAATTTATTTCGATTTGTATCTTTTCCTTTCTCTCTCTCTCTCTCTCTCTCTCTCTCTCGTTCTCTCGCTTTTATATTTGTATGTTTCGGAATGTGTCTGCTGTCTGTATCAATAGTATTTTGCCAGTTGCCATCGTCATTCGAAGCGAGAACACATCAACCACCACAGTTCATTTTCGGTTATTCGAATCTGCCTTTTTTTCCCCTCTCTTGCTTTTCCATTATTGTTGAGAGTTGGCTTTTGTTTGCGTTTTTCGTATTTCCCACTGTTGCCGAAGCGAGTGAAAGCTTTTAAATTGCTAAGCATTTCTGGCTAACTGACAACATATTCAACAAAAATGCACCGCACATGAAAAATACAACGACTGCAGATGTGCACATCAAAACACATACAGAATCTGTATTACAGATAGAGGAAGAGACAGAGAGAGATTTGAAAAAAAAGAAACGCGTAGAGAAGGTCTTTTCAGCAAATATTCCCCCCCCCCCAAAAAAAAAAAAAATACGCCACTCGACTCTATTTTTTCCGTGCCCATGATGACATTCCATTTGATGGCTTTGACTTGTGATTTTCAGTATTTTCCTTCATTATTACCACTGAGATGCAGTAACGCTCACTAGATCCATAAAAATGAGTATCGATTTTTTTCATACACTTGACATATCATCGATTTTTGATGTACTGTGAGGCAAAAGAGATTTTGGTCTGCTACATGAATTTCCACAGAAATGTGTTTGACGATCATTGTTAATAGTCATACTTGGTCGGACAAGCCTTTTCTGGCCTTGTAACCGTTTTCCCATGAAATGAACCACCATTTTTCATTTTATTAAAATTTTTGCGCAGAAATTAGCACATAACGAATTCCATCATTTTTCCAAACCCTGAATTCGAATCAAATGATCAAATTATGACATAAATGTTGTTAGGTTATTAAATGAATTGAGGTCAATTCGCATGATTATAATAGTTATTTATATTTAAACAAATTACATAATGAAAATAAACAGCAAGCACATTATGCAGGGTGGTTTAAATCTCTTTCGGCCCACTGTACCGTTCAAAATAGTCTCCAAAATGCTATTTATATTTACCACACAATTGTCTCATTATGTGGAGTGGAAAAGTTAAAGTTGAACTCAAATCGTTGTTTGCGATTTACGAGTGTGTGTGTACAGTTTTTGTTGAAGTTTTGTGTGGCGGAGCCAAGCCAAGACAAAACCATAACTTGATATGCCACTCATACGAATGTGATAAGCTTGAGATGAACAAAAAAAACCGTTGATTTTGACACAGGTTACAAGCAAAAAAAAAAGCAACAACAACACAAACACCAACAAAGTAAATGCACCAAATGGAATTAACATTTCTACACAACGATAACAAAGTACAAAACAAAACAGGACATTGTCTCGTTTTAATGGAGCGCCTGTTCGTTAGAGCAAAAGTATAAAGAATAATGAAACACCAACTTAATTGAACAAAAATACAAAACTCTTTCATTTTTATTTGCCTGCCTCGCTTGCTCTGCCGCTGCACGTCTCGTTCACTTCGCTTGCTCCTCAACTGAAAGTATCTTGTCGTTTCTCACAGTCCGGCTCTGACCAGCTACTTGAACTTTTTGTTTATCTTTTCCTAGCAGTTAAATTGCATTACAAGGACCACCACACAGCATATACAATATGATTTGCATTTTCCGTTTATGTGCATCAGACATCGTTTGCACTCACACTGAGACGCAGACACGATGAATGCTGTTCAATTTCAAGTGCATATTGCTCTCATGCACTGTCAATATAATGCCAACATTATAATTTTTATGGGCAACGATACGGCGCACACACACACCATGTTCGTAATATGCGTGGCCCTGGCCATCGTAATTAAAGCGAATGTTATTGCAATTTCGTGCGATGATTTTTCCAAAAGATTTAAATATGATTTTATGTGGAAAATGGTATTCGAATGAATGAACGTTGACACTACTGCTGGATCTGGTGCTGCTACAATTGTATAGGTTTAAATGAAAACTGCCTTCGAGGGGTGAAAACGAACAAAAATAATGTGCTATTTTTTTGCTATCTTCCTCTATGAAGCGCGCGCTCATTCAGCTTTCAGAGTCATCGCTTTTTCGATGTTACATTCGCTTTCTCACTGATAGCGCTTTGTTTTCACACATTTTGTCCGCTTTTTCCGTTAGTTTTCAACTCTTCGCTCTCTGTTGTTTTTCTTTGTGCTGTTGTGCGAAATGTAAATTACATTTGTATTCATTTGCTACTTTTTTGTCATAGTTTCGGTTTGTGTGTATGCACTTTTGTTGTGAGTTTTGTTTGCTTTGGTCGACATTTGTGTGTACCCGCATTTAAGATTCAAATGAATCTCCGAATAATTTTCTTTTTTCTCTCTTTCTCTCTCGCTCTCTCTCGCCTGTTTATTGTTGTTCGGATTGGTATTTTATGCTACAATGTGAATGCACTAGGCAAATAGTGCCTTTGTTAAATACCAAATACATGTGCACTTGAACTTTTCTCTCGTTCATAAATTTCTCTCTCATCGCATAGTTTTTCAACTTTATACAATGTGCATTGCAACACTTGCAAACGATGTGATTTTCCATGCTGAGCGTCTCAGCCTCGCTGCGCACATCGTTGTCAGTTTATGTCGACGTTTGGTTTTTGTTCAGCAAATTCACTGAAGAGAAACAGGCTGGTGGTTTTATTTTTCGCCTCAAAAATAAATTTCAATAAAAAATACTCTCTCATATTCCGTATTTTGAGCACAGATCCACCACTGGCATTGGTCCACTGCTTTTCCTCTTCATTTCGGTGTATGGATGGAGAGAAGAAGAAAAAAATATCCAACCGAAAACATTTCAAAACTTGAACTGGATATGTGTGTTAAGCTTATCCCCGACAAGATGGTGGATTGACAGCAGTATTTAGTGTGTTTGTGCTGTGTGAAGTGGATAAATAGCGGTATTTCATGTTGGAATTACACAACTAATAGCACCAATGATTCAATTAGAATGGATTGCACAGTGCAAACAGAGTCTGGCTGGAAACTTTTAATCCAAAACACATTTGCATCGATGTTGTGGATGTGGGGTCACTGTAATCACTTCCACAGATAAGAAATATTCACCGTTCGGGGACAAATAATTTCGTTTATTTGTGAAAGTGCAAGTAAGCCCCGCGTACCATCCTCCACATTGAAACCGTTGCATGCACCTTAACATTCATAATACAAATTTAATGTGAGTGGAGGCGCCCTATGAAAAATGGCACAGATTGAAATATTGAATATTATCTGAAACGAAAAAAATGGAGTCGCATACGGAATATATGATTCCATGTGTTGTCGTGTCGTGTTCGGGTGACAGACGTTTAATAATCTTGGGATTCAAACGTCGTTAACACGTGCATTATCAACTTTTAAGTTTTTCAAACTATGGACTCGCACGTTGTTAATATGTACAACATATGCTCCTCTGTTATCGGCCGGTGATCGAAGATTATTAAACTATGGAGTCATTTAAGCGGCTCCCAATATTAAATCCTGACCATAGCGAACTCATGTTGGTAAAACCACTCTGACATTAATGCATTTTAGACAAACAGTTAAATCAAACAGTAAAACTGTTCAACATTTCCGACTAACGAATGTAATTTTTTTTTCTCTCTATCCATCCATACAGACAACCAGCCGTTTTGGATGGCATTCACCAGAAGATGAAGAGTTTTGTAAAATCGACCAAAATTTACCGTACATGGTAAAAACGTCGACGTATTCACCAAAAGTGCGTCCCATGAACTCAAAAACGATCAATCGAAGTAGTAGTAGTAGCGGAAATTCGCATGAAAAAACCGCATCAAATACCATTACATCAACCATTGCACAACCGTATTCAAAAAGTGTTGATACCAAATATTTTGCACGAACATTTAACGACTACAATAGTTCAAAACTATCGCCAAGAGATAATTCGGCCGTTTTGAGAGCAGTGAGTGCATCAACATCGGCCAACAATACGTTTGCAACCGCATCGTCGTCATCATCATCGTCGTCGTCGCGACTAAATAAATACCGTTATCAACATCCAACGTACCACCAATCACACGAAATGTTTGAACAACAAACGCAAACGCAACAAGAATCAAAGCAAAATACTTTTGGTAAATATGAGAAAAATTTCCACAGTAGCTGCAGCAGCAGCGGCAACAGTAGCAGCAACGTCGCCAGCAATGGCATTGGCATTCAGGCAAACAGTCACACCACCACTTGTGCTGACGATGGTGAAAATAATCAAATGGTAGTGATTACGCTAAATGGAAGCAACGCTCAACAAAAGCAGGTAAATAAACACACACGGATTTGCAGTGCAGTGCAGTGCAAATGTGAATCGAAATAAAAATAAAAGAAATCTTACTCAATTGAATGAATGTTTCGCTTCATTTGATCCTCATATGATTTTTTTTTGCCTCTTGCTCACGCAATTTTTTCCTCCTTCTCTTTGTTTAGAAAACCATGGAAATCAACAAACATGCATCGACAAAACTGTCGAGCACTGACAAAGCGAATAACCATCAGCAATCGTCTATGATACCAAACTATCACAATAATCATTTGGATTATCGGAATGGCAGCCAGATGAGCTTTTATGAACAGCAGCAGCAGCAGCAACAACAACCATATGATGATGAGTTGCATCGCCAGCACTATTTTCTCGCTTCAGACCGACAAAAAAGCGATACAATGCACAGTGGAAGTGACGGCAGCAGCACCAAATCCGAACAAAAAATCCCGAACATTTATCATCAGCAAAATGGATTTCTAATAAAAGCGAAACAGCAACTGGTAAACAACAATGAATGTGATGCCGACGATCGTGTACTGTTACAACGTAAACCAAAATCAAATCAGTATGGCAAAATTCTAAATTATAATCGAAATGGTTCACGGCCTATTCCAATGCTACCATCACCACCATCAACACCGCCGCCACCGCTAAATGCAAAAATTAAAGACTATCACGAATCGTCGAATAAATTCTATCAAGAGTATCCGACGAATGTGCATCTGAGCAATCAGCAACATAGTCGATTCAATGGCAATGGTAACGTTAACAATAACAACAACAACAACGAGGTAAGGCTCATCACAATCACGACACATTTTTTTTCTTCTTCATTTGTTTCGATTACGGTGTCCACGTTTAATTGGAATTGTTGTTTTTTGTTTCTGTTCTTCTTCACATGTGGTGTGTTCTATTCTCCCAGATGGGCTCGGCAAATAATAACAACAACAATGCCAATGGTTTTGAATTTTATTCAAACGGATGTTCACACGCATCGGTCACATCGTCGTCCAATGCGTTGAACAAACAATCGACAAAGTTGCACGGTAATGCCATCGATGAGAATACTTTGCACAATCAACAGCAACAACAGCAACAACTCAAGGAATTGGTGCAATCGAGAGCCAAATGTAAACAAGCGCCATCAGCGCGATCAAATAACGTCTATCATCACAACAATGGGATCGGAGCGACAACGACGCATTTAACACCAACACCAAGCAATCACCAGTTGGCCCATGTCATAAATAGTTTGTCATCGCCGGAAAGTGCATATTCCACCGGTTACTCAACGGATGGCACATCACCATCAGGTAAAAAAAAATTGCGCTTTCACCAAATCAATTCGCACCATCATCGTTGATCATTATATATATGTATGTAAATTTTGTGAAGAAAGCTAAGGAAAAAAAATGTAAATCGGAAAGAAAAACAACGACGAAATAGTAATCACCGTTATTGGCCCAGAATGAAAATCATGATCCTAGTACTCATTGTACGGCATTTTTTATTTGAATCTTTGAACGGGTTTAATTAGATTCAATATTTTCTCCCTCTCTCTCCATCTCTTCATCTTTTTCTCACAATCTTTGCCTCATCCATGGCAATAATCTTCCCTTTTTTTCTGTGGGCCGTTCATTTTGGTGAATTCATGCATTAAGAAATCGGCTGAAAAACGTGATCTGATTTTTAACGAGAGCGTAAAAAACTCAATATAAAATGAAAGGATAACATGACTTGAAAGATGATGTGACATAGAAATTAATCCCGTAATATGCGATTGCCTAACTACCTCTATTGAACTATGTTGTGTGTAGATTTGTCTCTTTCGCCGAATGAAAAGCAAGAGAGGGAGAGAGAGAGAGAGAGAGAGAGAGCGATAAAAAAGAGATGAAAAATAAATAAATAAACGTGCAGCAAACGGTGGCCTCGTCACGTAATCCTTATTTCTAGGTATATAGGGGCAGACCCAAAGATTTGGATCACTTCACATCTTAACGAAGTTTTCAATGTCAGCCTTCATTTGAAAATTTACATTTCAAAGCGGCAACCACATTTGGTGCATAATAAAGATATGGCGCGGCAAGAAGAATAAAAAAAAAGAGAGAGAGAGAGAGAGAGAGAGAGAGAGAGAGAGAGAGAGCAAGCGGGAAAATCTCTGCAACATTATCATCATCGTAGTCGTCGTCGTCGTCGTCGCTATTCGTGCAAATCATGAATATGACTTTTTCAAGTGGCTTTAATCCTTTTTTCTCCCGACTCGCTCACATTACAGATTACAAGTATGTGTGTGCGCTTTTTTCTCTCTTCATAATTTACTGTGTCTGCTTCCTATTTTTCTGACTTGCTGTGATTTAATCATCATTCGTCGTACTTGCCGCCGCACATGACAGTGTGCATCTCATTTCAATGGATGATGACTGCGCTGCATACACACATACACACGACACACGTTCACACAGTTCCATCGACATTTTTTTTTCGTTCCCCATTTTACGTGAATTGTGAACTAAATACTGAATCTCTGCAAGACCGTGTTTATGGCATCGAGCCGATTTTCAAGGCAATTCCATCGTCCGTATGCATACGCGGATGGGGTGGCACGTTCAATACGAATAAAAGATCATAGGAAACCACGAAAATTTTAATATGAATATGATTAAAGTGAAGTCAAGAGATGATGTGACGACGATAAAATGACGACGATATACTACTCCACCACATATATAGTAGTATATTTTTGATATGGAAAACGTTCGCTCGGATTGTTTCTTCCTCTGTTCGTATTTCTATCGCAATTGTACGGTGGGTATTCGGATTCGCATGGAATACCGCACTCAACTCTTCGGCGAAAAATTTAATATGCGTGAAGAAGAGCTTGTGGGTTAATTAAACGATATGGAAAACTCTCATGTGTCATAAAGAAAATACGGCTGCTTGCGTGAGCTCGTGAAGAAGGGAAGAGCAAAATCTTGAAATGACAGAATGCTCCTTGAAGTATGTATGCCAAACTTAAACCACATAGCATTTGTGCTTGTTTTTGTTGTTGTCGTTTGCATTGTCAAAAATTATCACACTTTGAGTACTTTTCATTCAGAGACGAAAAAAAAGGAATGTTTAAACAACGACAGAAATTTAAAATCATTTTCCTTCCTCTCTCTCTCTCTTTCTCTTCCATTCACTCACAAAACAAAACAAAGTGTTTTCCACAACAACAATTGCACGCAACAAAAAAATGGAAATGAGACGATAAAAATGCAGGCGAAGAAAAATGTCAGCACTTGACACTGTTTAATTAACCACGTAGTATGTATGTGTGTGTTTGCCTGTGCCCGTGCACAGTTGTGTACTCCTATTGTATGGACCATAATTTAATTCGTTAATTAAAAGCTCTTGTGTAAATCATTGTATGTGTTTAATTGCGTAATTTATTTTCGGAGTGCGCGAGATATCAGCAAACACATTTAGCGATATCAAAATGCACAAGCAAACAAACAAACACTCGTTCACTCTCAATTCGGCCCGATGAAAACCAGAAAACGAGAGAGAGAGAGAGAGAGAGAGAGAGAGAGAGAGAGAGAGAGAGAGAAAAACAAACAAATCGCGAGCGCATTTTGTTCGCTCTTTATTGTGTTCACATTCAATTGGCTGCAGTTTGACTGCATGTGAGAATCATGTGCACACGTTCATGTGATGAAATGTTGCACACTTAACCACATCGCGTTCGCACACCCACTGAATGCACAAATGAGAAACCACGCCGGTTCTTCTCTCTTTTTTTCCCTCCTTGGCACATAGATTAGATGATGCATACAGAGCGCATATTAAAATATAAATAAATGGCAAACAGTTCAAACGTTGGAATTTCGGAGCGCCAAAAAGACCACCGCAGCGAAGATAAATAGCGATCTAAGTAGAGCAATAAATCTCTGGCTGCATTGATACCTCGCTCTCTCTCTCCCTCTGCCCCGGATGCATGCGGCGCTTACGCGAGCGCCCTCAACACTTCACACCGAATGTTTGCCACAGCCAACAGGGAGCGCACAAACCGGGAATTGCAGCATATCATATCGTATGATGATGAAGTGTGTATGCGCGCGTGTGTGCTTTTCTACTATGATATCAAAATTGAAATTGAATCGATTACTTGGGCCTGTGGGCCTCTCTAGAGTGTGGTCGTGGCAATTGCCCATTGATTGCTCATGAATTTTGAATATTTCACGCACACATATTTGTTGTTGTTGTTGTTGTTCTTTTTCATTCCTTCTTCGTTTGAATATAGATTGATTATTTGCGATTTTGCATCTTTTATTTGAAATAAAAATAGGAACCACAAACAACGCACCCGAATACTATATCAATATGCGAACCGGTATGTAGTTGTTTAAGTTTACGCATTTTTTATTTTGCCTTGTTGTCTTTCGGCCAACACTCACACAAATAACCATCCAATTTCAGGCACACATTATTTCCCAAGAGGTGTAAATGCTGTGGCGGCCGTCGAACGAAGCCGTCAAAAATTCGGACTCAACAAAATTGAAGAAACGGTTGGCGAAACGTTGTGCACCACAACGATCACCAGTGTTACGAGCAACAACAGTGTGCACAGCAATCATCGCCGAACGGAATCCTGTGATTTAAGCCATCGTCGTCATGCAGCGGCCACCAATATATTGAGCAATAGCAACAGTATTAGCAATTGTAATGGGGTCGCTGCACCCGGCATTTTATCCAAGGAAGTGAGCAATCTACTGCAGGCAAATACACATAGCCGATTAAGCCCCGATCCGCAACGCCATTTGGCTTATCAAACTTATCGTGGATTTGAATGTAAATATTCTATTTTGTCACTGATTTTCGCTACTCATCAAATATGCTGACACTCATAACAATTCAATTTTTTTTTCCTACTCCCAATTCGATGGTTTCTTTCCCTTTTGCTCCCTCTTTGTGCCACTGCAGCACCATCTCCGCGACAACGGTGCCGGATTAAGACTAATCCGTGGCTTTCAACGCCCGAAACAACAGTGGGAAATGGCAATTCGATTATGAAGAAAATGGATATAGACACGAGTTCGACATCGTCTGGCATTAAATCCAGCAGTGATGCAGGAACCGATGACAAAAAAAGGTACGTTGCATTGATTTTGTATCTGGTCTGCTTCTTAAATCCACAAACAAATTAATAAATTGGAGTTGTCATTTTGTTTTTTTTTTCTTTGCGGGGGAACACGCAGCAAAAACCATATATCATCCGAGTCGGAGAGTTCATCGACTGAGATTGAGGTGAGCCGAAAATCGGCATTCTCACCGAATACGATTCGCAAACGGAAAATGGAAAAGCAATTATCGGAACGGTTGAGCAATCGTGCATCGAACTGTTGTGATAGCGACGATGAGGATGCCACATTCAATGAGCTGATGGGAAAATTTGACGAGAGCTACATCTACGAAAAGGAAACGGATATTCTAAGCGACGATTCGGATCCAACGGAATGTGGAGATTCCGATTTGGATACGGGACAAGATGGTGGCGATGAATGCGAAACGGATGAACTACTCGATATTGACTATATTGACACCGGATCGATACAGGAAGTTACCGATAAAGATATGTATAAAAATACGGGCAGTTGCACGTATTTCCATAATAATCAAGCAATTGACAAGCGTCAAAATAAATTGCGAAAAAGTCGAAAGCAACAGAGCGAAGAGAGCAATGGATCACGGCGTCGAAAGCGTTTGACACGAACACGCAAACGAAATAGTGAGTGTCGTGATAGCAGTCAAAACAGTCACAAACATTGTTCACCGCATCGATTCAGAGAGTCTCGCAGTGTTGGCGGCACACCAGTGTCGTTGCGTCGTAATAAATCTACAGACAACCAATATAAAAGGTAAGGCTTGCAGTATGCAATTTTATCATCCAAAACCTCTATTTCATAAGAAAAAAAACAAACGAAATCACATAGACACAAACATTCATTTAGCCACTCACACTAAATGCCATTTTTAATCACAATGCCAATTCTTTGCACATTACCTGTATGTATCATCCTCCAGCACACCCAAAATGGTTCCATTGTCTAGTCGATGTAATTCACTTACATTTACCGAAATCCATTCCATTCGTAGTCGATTTTTGGCTATAGCCGAAAGTGAGAAAGCACTACTGAAGGCCGACATTGAAGCCGATGTAAAATACAAGCAGCTCATACACGAGGCCGAAACGATTCTTGTGTCGATGAAGACGACAGCGTTGAGGTAAGTACTACATTCATTGGCAGTGTCCAAATCGAGAGTCAAATTTAAATGCGCTTCTTTGTATTTTGCAGAGAAACGCCGGTACCAAGCCCAAGTCGTCGTATATGCAATGTGCCAGCAAATAAACGTGTTGAAATGCTACGAAACTGTGAGGCTGATTTGCGTCGTGAGCTCCTAAAAACGCAATCGAAACCAACAAATGAAGAAAATGTGATCAATCGAAAGGATTCATTCGAAACGTTGGCCGCACCAAGTAGCCCGGTGAAAATAAACTATGCGAATGGCAATGGTGGCCGATTCAGTCCACGTAAAACGCATTTAACGAATTTCATTAATCAAAATATCACATCGGTCGAATTGCTTGGGCGACGTCAAAATGGAAACGATACACAAAATAATCCACCATCATCGATGGATGGGTACGAAACGAAAATGAAGCGTTCACCATGTTTGCAATTCAATACAGTCAATAATCGTGTTAGGATTACACCACCAAAATCACCGATGCCTCGACGTCGCTTCAGGAGCCAAAGCCCTCGCATATGCATTGAATCGGACTCAGATAGTGATACGCTCAATGGCAATGCACCGAATACGGTGGTGCAAAAGAAACTGGTGTGTCCGGTATCAAAGCGTGGCGATATCAATCAAAATAAAGAGAATAAATTGCGACATTCCTTGCGCAAGAGTCAACAGTCAACGGCAAACGATGATATTTTGAATCAAAACACAATTCCGGCACATGAAATGGATACGCTTGATACAGCCGATCATCGACCATTCCGTTCGATTGATATGGCACATCGTCTGACCGAATCATTCTATTGCCCACAGAGTGAACCTCTCAAACGGAAAATTTACTCGGAAAAAACACTTGATCGTTTGCAAAAGAGCTTGGACATGGAATCAGGTATGTTTTCATTTGTTTACATTTCGGCATTTTGTCATTAACTATTTTGGTTTCGGGTCATTCACAGAGATTCCAAAGAAAGCATTACTGCAGAAGATTTCGAATTTGCGTCGTGATCGACAGCAGCAACAGCATCAGCAGTCACTTCGAACGGCCCACAGTTTTGAATACACAACTGTCCATCATCTGTCAAATACAACACTCAACGGTGGCGGTGGCGGTGGCGGTAGCAGTGCAAATGCCAGCTCTGAAAATGATTTAACAATGCAACACAAGCGACAGCTTATTTTAAACACTATCGAAGATTTAAAACGGAATCTCGAAGATCAGAGCATTGAGTTGTGCGGGCTCAACGATGATGAAGAATAAAATGTTGAATTTCATTTCAGTCGATTGGAATCGGAAATAATGTTTTCATTTTAATTTCCTTTTATTTCTGTGTTTTTTTTTGTTCTGTGTCCATATCAATGATATAAGTTTGTGCAATGTGAATGGAATTTTATTTGAATGTTATCACCAAAAAAAGGAAGAAAAAAAAGAAAAGAAAAGCAAAATCTCTAATGTTTTTCATATTGTTTATTGTTGTTTAAATGGTTGTATTCAACACACCCACACATACACTAAAATGGTCATTGCAAATTGAAAGAAAAAAACATGAAAAGAGAGAGAGCGAGAGAAAAAATGTCAAAGGCATAAGAAAATAGTGAACATAAAAATACTCTCGATTATCAAACTGATCACTTTTTACGATCGAACCTTTTTTTTTCTTCTTTGTAGTGTAATTTTATATTTTTAATTGTTATTTATAATTCAACTACACGTAGTAGGCATTTCATTGAAAACTGTGTTTTTTATTATATTTATCAAAACGAATACGTAATTCGACAGACTTAAGTGTATCTTGAGATTTAGTTTTACCTTTAAAAGAAAATTAGAAACAAAATTCGTTCAAGTAAATGAATTGGCAATCGGACATACACAAATGATTTTAGTGTATAATACTTAGTTCCTTTACGGCGCAATGCAAACAACTAAATGGAAATTTCAATGGCAGTGAAATACGTAGAAAAGAAAAAATCTCACAAAAAAAGTAAAGAAAACAAAAAAGGAAATTCAGGCGGCTGCAACATTCAAATGGAATAATATTCTAATAAATGCAAGCTACCCACATCCGATGTGCATTGCAATCTAAAACAATAAACATACTCAAATACAAATATTTATGAATAAATAGATGATACAAACAAACAAACAAAACAAAAATTACTAATTTTTACAATAACCTCATGCTCAGTAACATTCAATATGAAAATAAGTTTATTTTCTTAAATTTAAATCAAGCATCAAAGCACACACATACACACGTGACTGAATCATGAGATATAGATATCTATAGTGAAAATTTAACATAATATTCAAAAGGAAAAAAAAAAGAATGAATGAAATAAATAATCGAGATATTCAAGTGCTGAAACAGAAACGGAAAGAACACTAACAACAATTTGCATGTGAATTTATGAATTCATTCATTATTATCAGAGACTATTTTCATAAACACGTATTTGATACATACAAGAAAAAAAAGTAAAACTAAACTGATATTGATGTAGAATTGCATTAGAATGTTAAACTGACGGGGAGCTTCTGATCCCATATCTCGTGGTGTGATGAGAACGATGCACACACGACTAACACATTCATGGGGACTCAATACTAATGAAATCGATATTTTTTTTTGACACATTATGCGAGTTGTCATTGTAATCGGCATTCACTTCAATCTGACACCAGTCAGACAGGTGATGTGTTTGTTGATCGAGGAAAAGACCGATGGGATTAGAAAGACAAAGAACAATAAACAAATCTTAATTATGGAATATTCAACAATGATACAAAATAATCCTAGTAAACTTAAAACACAATGTAGTGATCATTTAAATCGTAGCTCCATTAGTTTATTCGTTCAGTAGCATTTGTATTGTATTCCTTTGATTTTATTTGTTGTTTTGTTTGTCCACCCCATTTTTTGTTTGTTTTGTCAATGTCCGTTGAATTCCAACAACAAGAAGAGGACAAAAAATGAGGAAAAAAATTGAATTTACAAGGAACTCATCAAAAATACTGTGAAAAATGTGCACTGAACATTGATTGAAAACATAAGAAAAATGCTCACACAATTTGTATCCAATCAATAGTCCCGTTCATTTTATCATTGTCCAAATGTTTGTATTTTAGTTTCAACACTGGACATACGCAGCACATTCACTTGGTGTACATTGTTATCTCGAATTGATTTCTCACCAATTACACTAATCCATCCACTAGTCATAAATGTAAAACATTCACCACTAAATCCAACACTCAATCACCATTTAATTTTTAGTATAGTGAATTTTCTGTTCAAATATGCTAAGAATTCGAGAAAAAAACGCCCCATTTTTTGTCATATTCGGGTGCGTTATTTAGTCAGACGAATTTTTGTTGACGTTTTGTGTTTTGATCCGGATCATCGAATCGATGTCAAACTTTATTTTGCTGTAGGCGATTTTTTTTTTTATTGAATTGAGTAACTTTCTTCCTTTTGTTCACATTGCAATAGCAAACGCAATTGATCTAACCATTTTGTAAATGATTCAATTTATAATTTCGATGGAAATGTAGACAATTTTCTCTTAAATTTATTCCATATATTCTGGTCATTTAATGTCAAAATTGTATAATTTTTTCAAAGTCATGAGTTTTTTTTTTTGTATCAAAACTACTTGAAAAAGCAAAATGTCAAGTAAAATCAATCGAAATTCACTTCAAGGCATTATTCTACTTCAAGTAGCTTTGGCAATCACTTGGCGCTTTAAATTCCTATAAAGCATTCAAGTAGCGAAAAATCGACTTTTCTAAGCGCCAAGAAAGCAATTAAACCTACCTTAGATTTTTGGTTGAGTAGAATCAATTTTTTCGACTCAAATTTTTCATTTAAAAAATATTTTCAAATTGCAATTATTTATGATCAACGAAATAACTTTTATTTTCAAATGATCGAAAAATGGTTGGAAAAATCATAGCGAATTAGCTCAAACTTCATTTTATTATGTCCGAATTTTAGTTTCAAGACGAATTGAAATGAAAACCAATTGGATTTTTTTTACTACTACTCATAGAGATGATGTATTCCGTAGCTCTGTTTGATTTCGGTAGTATTCATTATGCATAGAAATTCGTATAAAAATTGAAGCGAAAATTGATCAAACGCTATATATATAACCGTTGAAGCGTTTCGATGCTTGTCTTGGTGCCCTTTGTAATTGAATATTTATTCGTTAAACCAAATAAAATGAGCTTTTGCATTCGTTTCTCTTGTTCGTTTCAAATGCTTTACTTGAATCAATAACTGTGTAACAAAAGTAAACTGTGATAAAAGCGATAACAGAGATAGAGAGAGAGACGTGAAAAAGCTGCAACAATTTTTCCAAACTAGCCAAAAGATAAAAAAAGGAATGTATATTAAGAAGAACCATTTCTCTACAAAGCATTTTTTATGTGCCAGATTTTCTTTAACCTGACTTCTACCTGACAAACATATTTATTATTGAATTTTATGATTCTGCTATGCCTACCGTTTATTGACGAACGACAAACCAAATGAATAATAGCGAAAATCAAACAGGGTGACTGAAACATATTCTCGACGATAAGTAAACACAATTTTCTTTCGTTTAAATTTTTGTTAAGCATTTGCACTGACAAAACAAATGAAACTGTATGAATTAATTGACTAATAACTCTATAAATCATTCATATTATTGTAAAAGAATTGCAGTGTATTCACAATTTAACACGGAGTATATAATGTATATCGTTTATAAGGATTCATTCCAAATTTCTAATGACAAAAAAAAAGCAAATTAAAATTCTGAAATGGTGGACAAAGAAAAAAACCGGCGAAAATTGGGAACGAAACTCGCATTCAAATGATTTTTACACATTCGGTCGATAGATTAAATGATAATTGAAATTTCGAAAGCAAATTAAGTAAACGTTCAGTTTTTTTTTCTCTAAATAGTAAACAAATTTTTATAAGGGAGAAACAATTAGAAGTAGATGAATTGTGTATACTTTGAATGATCGAACCGATGTGACATTATGATAATTTAAAAGGTGCAATTAATTCCATATTTCAAGGTTTTTTTCTTCTTACATATAAATGTGAGATAAATGTGTGGACAGTCTGATTGAAGGAACTTAACGGATATTTTTGGCCTAGCTGATACACATCCAACCCTTCGACACACAAAACCAATCATACACACACACACACTTGCTCATACAAAACGGAAAATTCATCAATGTTACCTACAACTAAGAATAATTATGGGTCATGACAACAATGAATTAGACATTATTCACAAATCACATGATACAAATATTTGCATACAAAGAAAACTCATTACCAAACTACAAAATAAATTTATACAAAAAAACAACAACAACGTCTTCTTACTTTCTTGCTTCTCCTTTACTTTAAGTTTTATTGTTCTTGACCGATCACAGACATTTTCCTCTTTCGGCGTACAATATTATTTGCAGTCGACATTTTATGGATTGATATTATAGTGAAAGTATTACCGCACCTCACTCAAGCGTCAAACTCTATGGACACCAACCAAACAACGGTGTACTGTAGCTTAACTTCAGCGATCAGCGGTTTACTATCTGGTATGATACGTAGAAATCGGTTTGAGAACCAACAAATTTCTGCTTCAAAAATAAATCAGCCGATTTAATTGGAGCATATGTGAAATGATTATAAAAACATAGGATGTGAAATGATTATAAAAACATAGGGTGTGAAACAGTCTCCCTCTTTCACGGAATTTGGTCTCTCTTCAAAGAAAATTGAGACTTTCAACAAAATACACAATTGAACCCGTGAGCATAAAAACAACGTATTGACTCTTCGCCGATGAATACGAAACGCAAAAAAATCGCCGAACAAAGTGAAACACCAATCTGTTATTGGATCAATATGAA